GCAAGCTAGGGATCTCTCTCTCTCTCTCTCTCTCTGTCTCTCTCTCTCTCTCTCTCTCTCTCTCTCTCTGTGTGTGTGTGTGTGTGTGTGTGTGTGTGTGTGTGTGTGTGTGTGTCTCAGAGTGGACCTCAGTATTCTTCTCAGCTCAGTCTTTCAGGACTTTCGTTCCAAGAGAGGAGCATTGACAGCAGCTTCCAGAGCTCGGGTAACAAATGAGAGCTAGGTCACTGCGGGTGGGGCGGGGGGGACTTTGCCTGCCTCCTCCCTCCGCCCCAGGACCACACTAAGGAAGTAGGGAGTCAGGGAACTCTGGTTAGGCCCGTTGGCTGCAGTATTTTCGTTGTGGGCCTCAGATCTTAGGCCGCCTTTCTGGGTTGTAAAAGGCTTTTGATTTCACCCATGAAAATGGATGCAGCAGTGTCTTGAATGAAGACACTCTTGGGGACCCTCTGAAAATGTGTCTGCCTGAATCCCACGTGGACCAGTGGCTCAGTCCCCGCCCCTCACCTGTAGTCCTGCTGGCTGCTGCCCCAAAGCTAGAATCTCAGAACTAGTGTCCTGCAATGTCAAAGTAGGTGGAGAGAGTCAGGGGGCAGTTAAGGATTTCAGATTTGGCAGAAGTGTGGAAATTGAGAATGATTTCCAATGCAAAACTACAAACTACAGGAGGCGGGGCTTTGGAACTCCTCTTGAGAGACTTTGAGGGGGAGAACCTGGGCCAGGTACGAGGGCCTGAAGTGTTTCCAAAAGGACAGCAAACTGTAAAAGATGTCACAAAAGTCTGGACTTGCATCTGAACAGAGGGTCTCCAAACTGCAGGGATCGGCTCCATTATCCCTGTGTCTTTAAACCTGTGCTATTTCTAAAGTTTGCACAGGTAGTGGGTTTCTCTTCGATTGCCGCTTGACATGCGCCTTGCTTCTCCCTGTGCGTGAACTATGTCTACGTACTCGGAGTTGGAAGAAAGGTTGGCCAATGGATGCAAAGCGGAGTTGGTTTTAGAAGGAAGTTTGTGGTGGCATAAGCCCCATAGACTGCTGAATCTGGGCCCTGGCCGCTACCCATCCAGTCATGCTATCTTAACTTGGGAGAACCGGTGCCTCTCAAAGCCAAATCCTCCGGCCCAGATCTTCACACGAGGAGAGGGCGCTAACGAGTCTTCCGAATACGCGAGAATTCTCTTCCAGTCCAGTCCCCCAGCTTTTGGATCTCTAGGACAGAAAGAAAAATCTCAGGAACCGCCCTCAGACTGGGGTTCAGAAATCGGAGACCCCCACAGCCTAAAAGGTGCTCGACGATGCAATGAATTGCTCTTGTGGAGATTATCGGGGTGGGGGTGCATTAGGTATTTTTAACTTTTTAAAAGAGGAAGAAGGGAGCCGCTCCAAAAGAGGAAACCAATCCCACGTTTCCGGGGGCCGGACAGTTCTAAAAGCGCCGCCTCACCACCCAGCCGGTGTGCTACAGTAACTGTCTGCCCCAGTTCTAATTAGCCTAAGAACGCTGAGCTGCTTTGGCCGGCCGGCCTTCTAGAAGTTAACGCAACAGAATCTCGGACTCCTGCGCGGTTCTAAACTTCTTCCCGGGTTCTCAACGTTCCACCCTACCCAGGCCGGTTCTTCATCCAGGAGCGCGAGCATCCAATCCCCTGCACACACATTCCCTCCAAATTTCTCCCGGCATTTCGGCCGCTTTGATGATCAGATGGTAGAGCCCTGATTACAAATTTATTCCCGGCCTCTCTGTCCGTCTTTATCTCTGCTATTAAGGACATCTGGGAGTGATTAGTGCCGCGCCTGCGCCCGGCCGCGCTCTCCTATCTCGCCGCAGCGGGGCCCAGAGCCTCGCTGACGTCAGGGCAGACGGCTCGGAGCCATCCCAACAGAGCTGGGTGTAATCGGCTGCTGCGCGGCCAAGTTCTCCCGGGGCCAGGCAGGCAGCTGGAAAACTCCATCCGCCTGCGCGAAGAGACCTTCTTAATATATATATTTTTAGCCTAGAACACTTTTTTGTTTTCCTTGTTTGGGGTGAGAAGGGGCCAGTTGGCGATGCTTACTTGAAACCTTCCAACCCTGTCCGTCATGAGCATTCTTTAGTAAAGCCTTCTTCGATTGGTCCCTACCAACCTTAGCTCTTTGGCTACCCCTGAGCCAAGCGCTGCTTCCCTTCTTGAGCAGAGTCAGGAAAGTAACGCCAGTGCAAAACGAAGACTCACCTGGATGCGAGAGGGACCCTCAAGAAACTTCTTAGAGATAGTTAGTGCCCCGCCCACGGCCCCTGCCTGAGCTATAGTCCCTAGGACCAAATGATGGAAATTTAAGCCTAAGGAAGGGGACGACCTGGCAAAAGTTGATTACAGAGCATGACCTCTCTTGAGGCTGCCACCTCTGCACCTGCTGTTGCAGTGAGCTGCCCAGTTAGCTCTTAAGCTAACTAGCGTGGCAGCTTTATACTGTGTTGTGTTGCAATGTCCAGGGCAGAGGAGTGAGGTCTGTGTGTGAATCCTAGACGCTCAAGACCTCTGAGGAGCTGCTACCTGACAGACAGGTGCAGTGGGATGATGAACCCAGTATCCGAAACTCTTCAAGATGGAGCTTCTCATTCCCCAGAGAACTGACAAAATTACAAACCCACCCCTATTTCATCCAAACTTCCAAAACTTCTGATTGGGCAGGCCATGGGCTTCATTTTAGAGCTTGCAATTCTTAGAACACCCGCAGAGAATTCTAGAAACATGGCCTGGGGCCACACCAACCACCATAATCAGTCCAGGGTCTTAGAAATGTCTTCCTTGGTTCTCCAGAAACACTTCCTGGTGTGGGTAAAGTGACATCATCACGTGTGAGAAAAGAGGGGGGCAGGGCCTCCATTATGGAAATCTACACCCTGCAAGAGAGAATTCACCAAGACCTGTATCTTTTTGCATCTCGATTGAACTTCATCAGTAATAGATGACTTTCATAGAGTGGAGTTCACTTCCTCATACCCCAAACAGAGCAAGCTGCATGTCCAGTCAGAGGCTTACAATTCGGAGGGGAGAGAAGATACCCTTGGTTTGAGTAAAGCGATAAAATGACAAAATCCACTAAGGGAACAAAAAAATATAAAAACAATTGGGGAATCCAGAACCCCCAAAAGTTCTTCACAGTCAGCTGAAGCTACTCCATAGAGCAGACTCAACGTCTTCACGTAATCTAGGGTGGAAATGGGGAATTACTTGCCATTCTAATTCTTGGGGGGGGGGGAGCGGACCTCTGAGATGTGAGGTTTGGAGAATCAACCCTTGTGGACTTATTACTCTGGCCTGGCTGAGAAAAAAAGGCCATGACTACAAAGCACCGGTTTTTACACTGTGGGTTCTTCACAGTTTGCCTTTATGTTGAAATCTGATTGGTGCAGTCAGCCAGATTTCTGAGTTTTGATTTGGTTTGGTTTGGTTTGGAGGAGTTTGCTTGTTTTGTTAATTGGTTAGTTGGTTAGTTTGGTTTGGGGTTTTGTTTTTTTTTTCAAGACAGGGTTTCTGTGTGTGTAGCCCTGGCTCACCTGGAATTCGCTCTGTAGACCAGGCTAGCCTCAAACTCACAGATCCACCTGCCTCTGCCTCCCAAGGGCTGGGACCAAAGATGTGCCCCACTACTACCTGGCCAGATTTCTGAATCAGGTCACTCAAAACCACAAAGATCCACACTATTCTGACCTACAGTGTTTTCTTGCTCCAGGTACAAGGCTCCAGGTGAGACTGGGATAAAACTAGGTGAGTCACTGGTCAGAGATTCTCAGTTTATGACCCCAAGCAGAGAATCTAGATTCATAGGAAGCTGAGCCTTTCAGGTAATAATCAGGAGTAATTGCCAATTCTGGCCTCCAACCAGTACCTCAGCTGCTGCTTTCTCAAGTAATTTTTGCTCTTCAAAGTATGTTTGTGGCTGGCAAGATCTTGCTAAAATAGCTCAAACTAACCCAGAACTCTATGTGGATTATGCTAGTGTCAAATCATGGTAATCCTCCTGCCTCTGCCTTCCAAGCACTAGGATTACAGGTATGTACCATTATGATCAAGGTCAAATAGTATTGTTAATACACAAACCATCAGAAGTGACCAGACCCAAGAATCTAGTGCTTCCCTATGACCAAATGGTGTGTTTCAAAATATCATTCCGTGTTGTCACACCAAGGCATCTTCCAGCCACTGGTGACCAAGAACTGAAGAGTCAGGGAGACCTGCAGAAACATATAACTTGTTCCCTGATGCTTGCTGCTCAGCAAGCAAAACATCACTTAAAACAAACAAGTACATTTAATCAAGGGCAGAGAATTCTCAACCTTCATTAAACATATTGCCTCGAGGAGGCCAAAAAAGATAGTATTCTAAACCAAGATGGCAGCAAATTTCCTCCTCTGTGAAAAGATGGTCGCCAATGACCACTGATGTCTGGACCTTCTTTATAAGGTGGGTTGCTACTGTTGCGTGGAAAGCGCTCTCTCTCTCTCTCTCTCTCTCTCTCTCTCTCTCTCTCTCTGTGTGTGTGTGTGTGTGTGTGTGTGTGTGTGTGTGTGTGTGTGCCTCTCTTGTGGCTTTTGTTTTAAAGAAAACAAAAACAAAATCTAAGTTTGTAGCTCGTAGGGGGCAGAAGAAAACCTGATGCGGTTTTAATGGGGGAAAGTAGCGGTCAGACCGCCTGACCATTGCCTTCCTTGCAAATCTGGTTTTCATATTCTCGCTCAGTAATCACCTCAAACCATAACTGTCTCTGAAATTATTCATTAAAGTCATTTTTAGGGATTCTCACAGGATGACTCTTACGTTTATGATCTGAGAGCAATGACATCAGTCTCTGTCTTTTTTCCGCTTTTAATTAATGCTCTGGAAGACGGGATTGGGGGAGGCTGAGAGCATAGGGAGGGGGGCGGGCGGGGTGGAACCCGCAGGCCTCTCTGCTCCAGCGGTCAGCTGAGCGCCGGCGCGCAGACATCCTTTGATTAAGGAGGGTATTTCGGGGAGTGCAGGCTGTGCAGAAGATCACGGCTGTGCCCTGTGGTGCTGTCAGCAGTGACAGATCCCAGATGGAGCCGCTACTGTGTGGCAGATTGAGTTTCTCAACAGAAAACTCACCCTTCCTCCTATACGTCTTCAAAAACCTTCCCCGGATACTCCATCCATCCAGGTCGCGACGTTTGAAATAGAAACAGTCCAACCCCAAAGTTGGTTTTGAGTGCGTGCTTGTAGGCTAGGTTTATTTTCCCCCCTTCCTCTTTGCTCTGTACTTCCCCTCCTTTGTGTATCTTCAATTCATAGCGTAGATGCGGTGGGCCTGGGGGTTCCTGTTCACCCAGCTCACGGCACCGTTGAACCAGCACTGAGGGGTCCCCGAAGGCAAGGCAATCCAGTGGGTAGAAGCTGTCGTCGTCAGCGATGCGGAGTGAGTCTGTGGCACACGAGGGGAAGTCAAGGTGGGCCCCGTGAGTCACACTCTAGAATAGAGAAACTGGGGGCGGGGAGGGTGGGAGATAAAGGAGGGAACTGAAGGTCCGTTGTCCTTGCTCTAGCCTGCCTGACTCCTCAGGGAGGCAGTGCGGAGTGCGTGATTAGGGAGGCTGGGTGTTAACGTGGTGGTTGGAGTCGGTCGAGGATGGATGAGATCTGTGGGAGCCAAGAACCCTTAGGAAGAGGGAAAGAGTACTCTGCGTGGATCCGAGCTGCGGTCTGAGCGGTGAGACTGGTGGACTCCGGCCTTCTCAAGGTGAGAGGGGACGCGTGAAAGCCCAAATCTCTACCCAATACTCCCCCAACCCCGCATTTCCGCACGTTTTGGGGGTTGAAAATTGGGTTGCAAAAATATGAATGTATTATAAACTGTTCTTTAAAAGTGACTTTAAATGTCTTGAACCTTTGCTCACCGGAAGCAACAGAGATTCCTCTCTTATCCCCACCCCCAACCCCTGTCCTTCTCAGGAAGAGTTGCTCTGCCCAGCTCTGGGCTAGAGGCAGTGGCTGAAAAGAGAGGGAAGAAAGGTTGAGAGCTCCCGGATACAGAGTCCAGCGGGAAGAGCGGTTTCTAGGCCCCACCCATCTCCCCCACACACTCCAAAGTTTTCTTATTAGTGAATCTTGGCGCGACTTTTTTTCCCGGAGGAAACATTTGAAATCAATAGGTGAGACGAGAGAGCATGTTTTGTTCTATTTTGCTTTAATAATAAGCAGTGTGTCCTTTTAAACACCCTGGCAGTCCCCACCGTCCTTCTCCCACACCCTCTCTGGATAAGACCCAGTTGGAGCGTCCAGGAAACTAAAAATACCGGTGATGCCACGCTCAACGTCCGTGAATCCACCCGCCGCTTCTGCAGGGCGGGGACCCTTCGGGTGAGGAATCGGCACCTTCCTCACCCGGAAAACCTGACCGCAAGACCAGGTAGCTGGCTCTTTCCTCCTTATGAGTCAAGGACCCGAGTCTGAGTTAGGTGGGGAGGCCCCACCCTGCAGCCGCGGAGAGAAAGCGGCTCCTCGTGACCCGTGGAGCCCAACCAAGGTGTCTACACTTTTCAAGTAGACCCTTTGGTCAAATCTAGATGACACTTTTAATGCCTTCCAATCTGCCCCTTCTAGAGTCTAATTTTTGGAAAGGAAAGAAAGAGATGGGCCACTAGACCCTGTTAATGTCACTGTCATCTAGTATGCAAGCATTCTTCAGTTTGTATTGACGTGCATACTTAGGGGGAACCTACGAACCCCACCCCATCCACATCCGCCAATGTAGTCGTATGTGTCCGTGCCCCCCCCCCACACACACATTTCCAGCCTCAATTGTCGGGTAAAACCGAAAAACTATATGAAAACAAAACACACTGAATTTCAAATCTCCCGCCCACCTCCTCTAGAAGGCAGCTTTTATTTTCATTGCCCATGGTGGATGAAAGTAGTTTATTTTGATTTTGTTTTCTTGTACCCACATGTCTTGTAAAAGGTTCCTGTGCACGGGCCTGGCCCCCCTCTGATGACGGTGGGGGCCTTGCTTCCAGACTGCAGTCCCCACCACTTGGTTTTAAGTCCTCGCCTGGAGCCGAGGTGTAATTGTGACCCGCCCTAACTCTGATTCTCCCGGGGGTACGGTTGGCCTGGCCAGACTGAGGCCGGGACCTCCCAAGTGGCGGCCTAGGCTCTCGAGCCTCGAGGTCCGCGCCCCCAGCCTCCTCCCCCTTTTCTTCCTCTGCGGACTTAGCTAGCCTTTTCTCTTGGTTCTGTACTTTGACCATGCTCCAGCTCAGAAATGGTAAACCTTTTCTTCCTTTGTGTTTGCTTTATTTGTGTATCTTTTACCTGTTCAGCATCTTACAGGGACTTTTTGGGTCGCCTTCCCATTGAAATCCCAAGTCCGGACGGTCTTGATGGAAATCTGGGGCAAAGAACTGGGAGCCTCTAGCCCCCTCCGCACCGGCGCGGAGTCGGAACCCGAAGCGCTTCTGCGTAACGTCAGCGCGCCGGGTAATTTACCTTTCCTGCGCGTCTGTCAATATGACTAATTTCCACCCGGGTCAAAAAGCCTTTCTCCGGCAGTCCATCTTGGAGCGCTCTCTTAACGCGGTAGACGGGGGTTGTTTTGTTTCCACCCTAGAAATAAATACTCTTGGGGCGTCCCTGCCAGGGCAGCCCTGAGACGAACCGGGGAATATACACCGTGTCAATTAAAGGCAGTTTGCCTTGAACTACGAACTGCGATTGGGCCTCAACGACAGCGACCTGCTTGCCTTTTAATACACATTACCTAACTCGTCCTTGATTCCAGTGCTTTCTTTAGAAACAGATATTTTTTTTCTTCCAAGAAGGAAGTAATTATTGCTCCAATTCTTCTCCATTGGGTGCAGTTCCCTAATGAAACAGAGCCACAATTCAGGGTGTGTTTTAAACATAGGATATGGTTGCTAATCTGGCCTAGACAATATATCATCCAGGTGATGTTTTACAATAACTTTTAAACTGCTACCGACCTCTAAGTGCGAATCGTGCTGTGGAGTCAACCGCTCTTCCAGAGGCCGCTGACGGATGCTGGTAGGAGCAACGCCCTGACTCTGAGAAATGCGCTTGAAAAAGTTAGCCTAACAGGGGAGACTGGGCGATTCTCCGGTGGCAAAAACAAAGGATCTCTGAGGATATCCAGTTAGCTCCCTTAGGCTTTGGAGGGTTTTATTTCACCGATCCGTGGACCAACGTACAGGGGACACTAAAAAAAATCCCCAACAGCACATTTTCTTTGCACAGGGAGTGAGGACACAACTAATAAAATTAAAATTATTACAAACTTGACAATATATGCCTACACACACACACACACACACACACACACACACACACACACACGGGGGGGGTACTAGTAGACTTAGGGAAATTTGGCACTTCTGTCAAAACCAGGGAATACCACCCAGAGAGGTGGTTGGCACACCCTGCACCATGATGCCACCTATAGTTCAACCCACACACATGCCTCAGCCATCACACCTGTCTCTGGTGAACACACACACACCTCTCTCCCTTTCTCATCTGCTGGTGCATTTATGGCCTAATGAAAGTATATCCTTTAGGGAAAAGACTGTCTATAAAACTTGAAATATGGAGAGCCCATTCACACTGGCCTGGTCTTGAAGTTTTGTTTTGTTCTGTTGTTTCCATAATCTCCTTGTTATTTTTACTAAACTCCGGACATTTTTTTCTTCCCAATCTCTGTTCACTCCTCGTGGGAGGGAAACCGGTTTCAGCCTGAACACTTATCTTTATTTGTGGAGAAGGCATTCTTTAGGGGGAAAAGGAATTCTACTGCCTATTCTCTGTCCTCTTTGAAAGTCCCTGGCACCACATGTTCCAACAGCTGGGGAAAACCAGGGGTTCTTTCAACCCCCTTTAATTTTCTTCTTACCCCAACTATCTCCCTCCATTGCTACCTTTTGGGGTCTTAGGCCCATCCTTTCTCCTGGCCACTATATGAAACCCCTCCCAGCATACTATGGGAATCACATAAACACCTGTCTAGTGAGGGAAAGATAACCTAATTTTATTTGTGGGACAGAATCTATGGATGAACACAAACGGACGGAGCAGAGATCATTCCCAGTTTACTGTTCTATATACTGTACATTTAAATAAGACAGTTTCTCTGTAAGCCCTTTCATTTAGCAACTTGACCTTTGCCACGAGAGCAGTTTAGGTTGTTTACAAGCCTGGACTGTACAACAGGAAAACCTTCTAGAGACATAAACATCAGAGGGAGTTGCAGAGCAGTGTCCTTCAGCGGGGTGGATTTGTTTATTTGCACATTCTTGAAGACCACAGCAGTTCTAAATTAAAATATTTGGGGCATGCAAGAACTCTTTAATTACCTGGAAGTAATGAAAGTGAGTGATTATCCAGCCCCAAACATACACGCTTCCTTTGATTTCTGAGTTCACTCTCAGTTCTGATGCTTCTATTTTTTTTTAAGAAAAAAAAATAGGTTTGAACAAGGCATGGTTTCTACCCTAAAATCTGAATGCTTGGAACGTGGGTACAGGAGATCACCAAAAGTTGCAAATCAAGTTTGGTCTTCACAGCAAGTTCCAGACCAGCTAGGACTATATAGCAAGACTCTCTTTCACAAAACAAAACAAAATGAAAGACACACACACACACACACACACATGTTTAAAGCATTGTGTTTTCCTTCCTGAGTCATAGTTGCCTATCTCCTACCCCTTTAGTGTCCTGGGAAAGGAGCAAAGTGTACAGCCCACTCTGAGAAGTGTAATTGGGTGTATGTGGAAGCCATTTCTAGGTAAGGATCATCTCCCTGGGGTGGGGGGGGGCAGGGAGAGTGGCCACTACAAAACATCTGCTAGAAACTGTCTTTCTGGTTATATTGTAGCTTATTCTTACCCAGTGCCACTAAAGGCTCTCACTCCTTCAAATCTACCTTCCCAGTGACTTAACTGGAGCTGTAAGTGGCTTTAAACTGGCTGGTCCCCCTTTTGGGGAGGATGAAAGGAGAGACTCACCTAAAATGCTTCTCTTCTCAGAAAAATAGCATTTCCTGGTCAGATTTCCAGTTTAGGAGCATTAAACACAACAAAAAGCAAACTATATGTTTTTAAACCCTAGATTCTCAGCAGATAGCAACGAGTACTTCCTCTCAATATGTGGCAGATGCTAAATATGCTGCATCAGGATTTCTTCCTTGGCTCTGTTTGTAAAGATAGGTCTACCTGTAATCTGGACTAGCCTTGAACTAAGTAAGCATCCCTCCTCCTATGTCCATCTCTCAAGTGCTGGGATTACAAATTACACCATCTCATCTCATGAGATATATTCCTAGGGAAAAGGCATGATGTTCTTGTGAGACAAAAATATAAACAAAATAGACAGGCAAAAGGGGTTTCCAGCTATTTCCTACCCACTGTTCTTCATTGCTTGCTCATCTTCTCTAAGCTTTCTAATATATGGCAATTCCAAAAGTCGTATCATTTCCATGGTTCTAGCATTGCAAGTCACTGCTGACTGTGTCTGTTCAGCTGGTGGAAATGGGAGGGGATGGGGAAGCTCCTTGGAGGCTTTGAAGAAACTCACACAAAACACAAAAGTTGTGGTGTAAGATACACCCTAACTGTAACTTAAATTTTACAACCAGGGGTATACCAGAACAAATGACCACTAAGGCTCCATATTTGATTGTCTTTACTCTGTGACTGATGCCACAGAATTAGGAGAGGGAGGAAAGGAAGG